GGGTGTTGGGGCGGCAGCAGCGAGTAGGTGACCTGGGCATTGGAGCCTGAGTCTCTGTCTGTGGCGCTGATGGTGCCTATGAGCAGGGTGGGACTGTTGTTTTCTGGGACGAAGAGGGTGTAGGAGGATTGGGTGAAGGTGGGGGCGTTGTCGTTGACGTCGGAGACCTGCACTGTTATGGTGTGCTGGGTTTTGAGCCTGGGTGTCCCCAAGTCGGTGACAGTGATGGTGATGTTGTATTCGGCTCGACTTTCTCTGTCCAGTGGTCCTTCTGTCACCAAAGTGTAAAAGTTCTTGAAAGAAGGCTTCAAAAGAAATGGGACATCGTTTTGGATGGAGCAAACCATCCTACCATTGTCTCCAGAATCTGGATCAGAAACGCTGAAAATGGCAACCACAGTCTCTGGGGAGTTTTCTGGAATAGATCTACTCAGCGTGGACATGGTCAGTTCAGGGGCATTGTCATTCACATCCAACACCTCTATAGCTACAGTGCATTTTCCTGAGAAACCCCCACTGTCTGTGGCTACAATTTCCAAGTTATAATACCGATTTTCCTCGAAATCCAATGTCTGTTTCAGACGAATTTCTCCTGTCACTTTGTCTATTGCAAATGGTTGGGTAACTTCACCATCATGAAATGTGTAGACAACACTCCCATATGTACCTGCATCTAAATCTTGGGCAGAGACGATAGCAATTACAGAATTCAGGGCACTGTTCTCAGGAACCTGAGCTTCATAGAGTGACTGTAAAAATTCAGGTGCATTGTCATTGATGTCCACGACGTCAATGCACACTATCGTGGTCCCCGACCTGGGGGGATCCCCACCATCTACAGCAGTGAGGATTAAGCTGAAGTCGGCCTGATCCTCCCGGTCCAGCGCTTTATCCAGCACCAGCTCTGGATATTTTCTGCCATCCCCGCGACTATGAGTAACCACGTGAAAATGGGTGTTGGGGCTGACCATGTAGTTCTGAACAGTATTGCTCCCTATGTCAAGGTCTTGGGCTAGTTTCAAAGGGAACACAGTTCCTGGATGCGCGCTCTCAGGGATCTTAAGAAGCGTTTCCCTCTCTGAGAATTCTGGAGAGTGGTCATTTATATCTGTGAGCTGCAGCTCGCCTTGATAAAACTGCACCGGGTTTTCCAATAACAATTGGAAATGCACGACACAGGACTCTGTCGCCCCGCACAGCCCCTCCCGGTCTAGCTTTTCACGTAGAAGCAAATTGCCTGTCTTCACATCAAGCTGCAAGAGCTGCCTGTTTCCTTTGTAATGGATTCGCGCACCTCGAGTGGCCAGTTCCCCCACCCTGAGCCCCAGATCTTCTGCCAGGTTGGCCACCAGGTAGCCACTTTCTGTCTCTTCTGGCATCGAATACCTAAGTGCCTCAGAGCCAGCCTCCCACAACAACAACAACAACAGCATAACAATAAAAACGACTTGCCTTTTGTGCAGCGTTGTTGCTAGTGCAGTCTCCATTGTCCAGATCTGGTCCAGAAGGTTCAGCTTGCTCACCTCAGTGTACAATCCACCCAAGTGACTTGTTAAATGATAGTAAATGAAATCTGGCTCACTGGTGTGCATGTAGAACGGTGCCTTCTCTGAGGACGAGCCCTTCCCTAGATGCTACCTAAAATGCTTCCTTATTTTAGGGAGCATTCAGAATTCTGATTGGGAGAATAAAGGTTTACTGGGTATTTGCGCAACATTTCTTCCAGTCTTATCCTGCAGCGCCACCAGGCGTCCGTATTTACTATTGCATTGCATCTGCCTTTTCGTCTTCTGGATGTAGCCCTAGCATTGCATGGTATTCATATCGTTTCATTCATAGGGATGCCCTAAATTCTAACTCTAACTCCTAGTGATTGTAACATCATCATGTGTTTCCTGAGCCAATTACTAGTGAAAGGATACTTTTGAGAACGATTCAAAATGATGTTAATCTCCATAATTACTACGTTTGAGTACATTTAAAACTTTGTTTATAATTTCATTGTTTAAAACTTATGCGAAAATTTTCCAATTTTCACAAAATGTAACTATTTTGAAGTATAACATCTAGATAAAAGCTCTTAAAATTGTATGACTCAGTGGATTTTTCACAAACACAATTTATTATTCTAATTATCAGGACCTAAATTAAAATTAGAATACTAGTAAACTTGAAGAAGACTATTTCTGCCATTATCTGATCCCTTCTAAAGATAAGAACTATGCTAACTTCTGTGTTTATTGAATTTTTCCAAAGCATTTTTCAACTAGAATTATAGAATATTTCTTTGCTGTGTCTGTCTTCTTGCACTCAATATTGTTCTAGGAAAGTGATGTCTGTCATGTTCTCCCAATTTGTTTCATTATCACCTCCTTGTTTTGCTGTGCTATCTGTATACCATGATTTTTTAAATATTTTCTGTTGGTCAACATTTTTTCCTAGTTTTTACCATTTTTTTTGTAGCGCTGGTATGAAGTTTCTTGTACATCTGTTCTGGTTACAGTACATATGTATTTGTGTTAAATATATTCATAGGTATTTGATTGCTGCATATTAAGTTGTGCATGTGTATTTGACTTCAGCATATACTGTGAAAATTTTTTGAAAAATACTCCATCAACACCAGCAAAGCATGAGAGTTCCAGTTTCTCCACACCTTTGCCAACATTAGGTGTTATCTTTTCAGTTTTAACCACTCTACTATATGATGATGTTGCGTTACAGTTTTAGTTAGCATTTTATTAGTGATTAAATTATAGAAATAGCTGGAGAAATAGCTTGGTGGCATAAGCGCCTGTCTGACTAGCACAAGAACCCAGGTTCTATCCCTGATACTGCATGCTGTGCAGACCCCTGGAACTCAGTGGGCTCACACCTGTAATCCCAGTGCTGGGGAGGCTGAGACAGGAGGATCACTGTGAATCTGAACTGCCTAGTGAGACCATGTATTAAAAATAAAAATAGAAGGGCTGACCAAATAGCTCAGCAGATTAAAGCTTCTGCAAGCAGGTGCAGGGGCCAGACGTTCAATCCTCCAGCCTGCAGTGCTGGTCCCATCCCTACAGGCACACAATTGAAACCTTCGGGTGGTGGCATGTGCCTATAACCCCAGCACTTGGGAGGCTGTAGACAGGTGGAGCACTATGAGTTTGATCTAGTAGTGAGACCCTGAACACCCTGTAGACCCTTCCCTAAAATACAAATAAAATTAAAAAATAGAAATAAACTTAAATTGTTTTTAGAAATTATAGAAATTTCACATTTATTGACTTATGGATACATTCTTTTGATAGGCTCATTCCTTTGTCTAGTTTTCTTTTTGGTATTTGCCTATTTGCTTGTTAGTTTACAGAAATATCTTCTGTAATCCGAGTAGTATGTAACACTTTTTTCAGATATATTACAAATATCTTTTCCCACTGTGGTTTGTGTTTTCACTTTTTAAAAGTTTCTTGATCACCACAATGACTTCAGTTTCATCTGATTTGTCAGTCTTTTCTCTTTTGTTTAACACTTTTATCTTTTGTTTATCTTCTTGTATTCACTAAGGTCACAAAAATATTCTTATATGATAATGTATTATGAAAGATTTATTGTATTTATTGTATTGTGAAAGATTTATAGTATTGTGAAAAATATAATATATTGTGAAAGTTTTTTTCTATCTTAAAATTAAGTTAAGGGACTGGGGAGATAGCTCAGGAGAATAAGCACTTCCCTGGCAAGTGCAAGGGCCTGAGTTCAATCCCCGGTTCTGCAAAAAAACAACAACAACAAAAACAACAAAAATTAAATTATGTTACTTCTCATATTTAAAGCTTGAATACTCTAGTTTGCTGAAACCTATTTTCTTTTGTTTTTGTTTTTTGTTTTCTTGTTTTTCGGTAGAACCGGCAGGTTAAACTCAGGCCCTTGTGCTTGACAGGGAAGCACTTATTCTACTGAGCCATCACGCCACTGCCAATGCCGAAACCTATTGATGGTACTCTAAGAACCTGGATATTTTCAGAAAGTATGTGAATATATTTAGATCACGGTTACTTATAAATTCTAGTAATTAACATTTTCAAGAAGGAGTATAATTCTTATGTTTCACTGCTGGATTGTTTCAACCACTGGTGGTACACACATGACTGTCTCATAGGGAAGCTTCTTATTAATTTATTAGTAAAAAGATGGATAAAAGTGATGGCATCCTTTTGTGCACTAGTGGGTTATCTGTGCCACAAGACACAAGCTGCCCAATGAAGCAATCATGCATGTACCACTGGTGGTCCAAGCTGGTAGCATTGTGTTAAATTTCAAAATGTTGAACTGTTCAATAATCTGATGGTGGCCCTTACCCAGTAAAGAATCATCCTTACTACATAAATACACAAAGGAATGATGTGGCTTCTGCATGTTTATTTGGCTAGACTTATCTGCATGATTATAGAAATCAGAATTTCCTGGCATAGACAAAGAAGTGAACTTGCATTTTTATGATGGTAAAATGTACTGGTGAAAACTTCCACTACATTTTTTTATCTGTCATCACACATAAAACTATTTTATTCAAATTGCCAAAAATAAATGGATAAATATTTAAAAGGTGATTACCATATTTGTGCATGGCATATTTGTGCTTAATTCTGCTCTTACTTTCATATCTTCATCACTTCAATTTTAAAACTGAATGAAGTCTAAAAGCCACATTTCAAGACTAACTGAAATGGCCAATATCTTTTCTATTTTATTATATCCTTAGGAGCATTAGAAATCCAGGGAAAAGTGGAAGCACTTAAACTCCAATAGAAGGAGACTGAAGATTTACATATAAAGATTAATCTACAAAGTATGCTTTTCAATTGTTCATATTCTGTCACAAGTTCAATGAAGTTGTCTTATAGTTATATTCATATAAATTTTAGTTAGAAATTATATAATTAGTTCACTGGGCTTATTGCATATAAAGTAAAACTACAATTCAAGTATATCTCCTACTGTTCCTATCTTCAGGAAAAAAATGTTTATTTCATAGTGATAAGGTCAACTGGAATGAAAAATTAACTAAAAATAACTGGGAGTTACATCAAATTACAAAATACAAGACAACTAAATATAACAAGGAAATCATTGTTTGATGATAATGACTGTCCACATCAAATAAGTAAAACATAAATCTGAGATTAACCAACAATGACAGTTAAACAAAATAGCTAATTTTTAAAAAAAGCTTGTGACTCTTTACAATGGTGGGAAGCAGGTGTTGGAAAACAAAAGGTAATGCACATAGGAAGCTACAATTTAACTTCTATTCCTAAGTAAAAAGGCAGAAAAAGACATCTCATGCTCTCAAGAAAGAATAATCCAAATTCTGAGATTTTTTTTAAACAAGGATCAAGAAGTGACTTAACAGTTACATTTAATAAGAGGAATGATGATTTTTATTTTCTATTTAATTGTAACTATTTAAATGTTTTTATCCTACTACCTATGTAAGACTTACAATGTGTTAGGTACCATGCAATTAAACAAACAAAATAATCTCTAGCATAAATGGAGTTCAGAACAAGAAAGGAGTCACAATTTTTGTGTATCTATATTTTAATGAAGTGCATGTTTATATACAACTTGGGGAAACAAATATTCTAGCTTTTTACGTTCTAACCTTATGGAGGGAGCTTAAACTGATAATGTAGAAAAACCACAAACACCAAAGTGATAAGAAAAATTTGAGACACTGTGTCTCTCATAAAACTGTAAATTGAAAACTTCACTAAGTGAAGCTGAGGCAGGAGGAGTGCAGCCAGACAGCAGCCAGAGAAAGTTGGTGGCTCTAAATTTAAAAGAAAAATGGAGAGGCCTGGAGATGTCACACAGTGGAAACATACTGGGTTCTGTTCACAGTAATGAGGGGAGTGACACCAAAAACATTTGAATAGTCAAGATTTCATCAAAGCTTTAAAATATTTCATAAAATATCAAGAAGTCAACCACATTAAAATTTTTCTATTTCTTGCATATTCAAAGTTATGGAAAGATTAATCACCAAAATGTCAAATAAAGAAAATGTATAGTATCAGCAGGACTAAAATTAATAGGTGCAACTGACAGGAGTAAAACAGAAATTTGAGACTATCAGAGGAGTACACAGGTCTTCAACAGTACAAAGAACACATAAAGAACAATTTTACTTCTCAAAAGTAAAGGGTTTCACTTGGTGCTTTCAAAAACTAATGAGATTCACTGAGCCAAATACAACACTTAACTGAACACAGAGCTGTTCCTGCAGTTAGGATCCTCTCTAACTTCTCTACCAGGGTCCAGACCCACGAGGTTGGGGAATAGCGGCTTCAGGAATTTGAACTCACCAGTCCCAGAGTCTCCAGAGAGACACACCTCATACTGGTAGGAGTGCGCCAGCGTCCCCGTGCCGCTGACGTCCACCAGGTGGGCAGGGAAGGGGCCCTCGGGCGCCGCCGAGCACACCCCCAGCGC